CCCTGCAGTTTAGCCTAAGAAAATCGAAGAAAATCGAAAATTTTTTGGTAGCTTCTATTCGGTAATATACGGTACTTTATTTTCGGAAAAGCCACTTCTTAGCCCGTGACAACGATTTTAAATGGTTTCTTTCAAATTATTAAAAGCATCAGGAGGTGTCCCAAATGGGTAACAAACAATTCTTCTTATTATTATGTGCTCACATAACTGACTTTCTCGAATTCAAATCCTAGAAGTTAATTTTCCAACATAACATCAGACAAGAAACTTCCCCAATAGTAGTGATGTCATATACATTCGGTTTTTTTTGGTTCGGTTTGCAAAATAATTTTGATTTGACATATATATGCGTTCGGATAAATAGATATTAGCAATGTTGGGTAAATGATGCCTTTTTTTTTTCATAAAAATTTTTTTTATCCTAAATAAATTTGCGATTATTAAACACTTATACAGTACTGTATGATTAAGTAAAGTTTAATATTTAATATTAGAGTAATGAATTGGAGTTGACAAAATTTTCCAATCGCAATACTGAATACTATTAATATTAGTGAATTAAAGCTAGTATTTCGACTTAGCCGATCGATTTTTTTTTTTTTCAACATTGCGAATACCTTAACAAATTACGGGACTGCAAAAATTAAATGGTTAGCATTAGAACATGATAGAAAAATTAGAAAATTTTGATATGTAGATAATCAAATAACAAAAAACACGAACAAATATTGTGGCCAATAAGAGCAATGATCAACACTTAAATAAAATTTTATCCGGCTATACTAGACTGATAAATTTTTATGGTCCGGATATGATTAATAGTAATAATAATAATAAAAAGTAGATAACCACATGTTACTTTAGAGATAACGCGGTACTGATATACTGTAATTATAGGTTATTTCTAGCGTAGTGGCTAATCAGAAATATTATATTATACATTTTAAGTCGAAAATGGTATAAAACTTGGCATTTCAGACGCATATTTCCCCAAATTCTTTTATGACTTTTCCAATGACATTTAGCTATAAGATTATATTCCGGTACAAAATAATGTCGTGGCTGAAATTTGAGGTCTCGATCTGAAAGCCCTACTAAAATCTACATACCCTGTATACTCTTTACTATAATTCCAACCCTAATTCCTAACTCAACCCTAAAAAAAAAAAAAATCTACAAAAAAATTTAAAATTTCATATCGAATAGGTCCCAATTTCAGCATTAGCCGCGACAATGAGGTCTTTTTTTGCTAATAGATCATGCTTGATGCAAAATTCATATTTATGGTCATTCGTTAAAATTATCTACCAGCTAGATTCGAAATTAATTTTAGGTTTGTTCAAAAGCCTCGATGATTTCATTTCAACTCAAATGTTTAAAATTTCTGTTTTGATAAATTCCAAATTTAGGTGATTCTTTACAACGTTTACTATGAATATATTATCGTTATATATAATTTACATACTTCCATCGAATCACGTAATGTGAAACTATTCAATGCACTGTTTCTCTTGGCGCCAAGACGACCGATCAGAGTTGCTATTCAATGGAGAAAAGTCGATGAATCTTATTCATTGAGATTTATTTGATCAACTACAATACAATAATGTAATAATTTATATCTTTAGTTCGCGTAAATTTAAATAAATTTAACGTGACAGTTCAGAAAACTTCTTTTAACGTGCATTTAGATCGCAAATATAGATCATCTATTTGATCAACTTGATCGTTAATATCTTTTTCCACGTAGAAATACAAATTTATAAAGATTATTTCATTGTGACCGTAAGAATAGATATTAGAATTCAAGTTTATCCTTCAAATTACGTGTATTAATTCGTGTCAATTTGTTATTAAATATAGTAAATGATATATTTATTTCAATGCGATGATCAAATTATTTTACTCGTAACACTTTAGTTAATACTCGACAATTAATCATAAACATTTAATGCAATACGTACCATAAATTCCTGAAATAGTGGGCATGGGCGTTTTTTCGAAAATTGCGTCCTCTAAAAATAGCATTGTTAGTTTCGAAATAACGCCCATGCAAGTCTCGAAATAACACGCGCCTCATGTAACATATCAGTGGATTATGGTACGTACGTACGTAATTAATGCTAATAAAATTTAGTTGATAAAGTTGACTAATTATTTTCTCAATTTAGTAAAATAGTATTTACGTATCAATGTAATGACGTGTCCAAGTACTACATATTGCGTTTAACACAAAATATTGTATTAAATATTATAAATCCTAAGGTTCGTCCCCCATAATAAATATATGGGTACTTGTGCTGCAAAAACATATGAGTTTGGGTAATGATAGAAACTATATTGATAATAAGTGTTAGCACTCAATTTCTAAACAACTTTTTTCAGTTACTGTAAGGTCAAAAAAAAAAAAGATTGTAATCATAAGACAGGTGAAACGTTTATGAATTCGGAATTATATATTTTAGAATATTATTGTATTACAATTTTTATTATTTTTTTTTTAATGACAAATTATGTTTCATTTGATTACTAATATAGATTGCTGCAATTTTTACATTTCTAGTTATATATTAGATTTTTATCTACAGCATTAATTTAAGTTATAACATTATAAATTAACTTGAACCAGGGTGGAAATATATCATAGTTGCAGTGAAGTCGGTAGAATAGATATAACCATTTGGATATGTGCTACCACCTAATAATTACAATATATAAAGAAATATTGTAAGTAAAAGAACGATGATGCTTAATATAATTCTTTAATATTAATTACTTTTAACTTACAATCTTTATCTGGTGGTGGTGCTCCGCCATTAGGTTCTGTAAGAATGAAATAGGTAATATCTTTAAGCGCACCTTCCCCTGTGTTATTCTTTAGATTTTTTATGATATAAATGTTAATAATGAATAATTTAAACATTTTATATAATAAAATTTTGATAATTACTGAGGCTAAAAGAAGTTCATAAGTATAATCTTTCGCCGGATTAGCTGATGGTGAGGTATTAACAACATTGACGTTCATTATTGAAGTATCATTTTTTGGAATAACTGATCTAATAGTAACACCACCGGCTAAATTGTTATGAAAAATGAAAGAATTATGATTAAAATTCAAACATTGACATTATATGATACAATAAAATTTTTGACCAATCTGCATTTTTTTTCAAAATTTTTTATAAAATTAACTAGGAATAGTGCAATGCAGATTTAATTCTGTTCAAAATTATTATTTCGACTAGAATTTGGTCGCTAAATGATTCAAAGTATTCAAAGTATTATTTGATTTTAATTATTAATTATTACATACCTCTGAAATCCAATGCAGCCACAGCTGAAGAGGGATAGAGGAAGAGATCTTCTTTTCGGTTAAAATATACCGAGCGAAATTGATCTAATAATCATATAACATGGTAAACACTACAAATCGTAATGTATCAAAATTAAGTATGTACATATGTACTTACCAATACCCCATTTACCACTAGTAGTATTACACTTATGCCAGACAAATCCACCAGAATATAATTTAAATTTATAAACATTCCCAGCTGGAATAGTGAAATTGCTCGGAATATATACACCGTATGGATATTCTTAATTTACAATATCAAAAGAATTTAGTTATTATATAGTGACGATAATGTGTCAATATGTGATTTACCATAATTTCCAATTGATGTGGGAGCATCAAAAGACATAACACCGGTAAATGAACAGCTTATGCTGAGCAAAAGAACAATTAACACTGAGAACAGTTCTAGTTTAGTCATCCTGATAAGTATCTTAATCAAATGTAAGTTCGTATATCTATCTATGTGAATTGATTAAAAAAAATAATAATAAATGAATAGTATTAATAGAAAAGTTGCAGAAAGTTTATGATGATAATACATAAGCATTCGAAAAATACCGTATTAATACGAGTGCAAATCTTTGATAAATCAAAAAATTTTCTTTAACAACCCAAGAATCTATTGCTTATATAGACGTGTCTGTAAACTACAACCACATGCACTCAAGTTGCACTTTCCTAAAATTACTCCTTAATTCAAATGCAAGATCTAATTTTAGGGGTTTAATTTCAGGAATGCATATATGTTGCGTTACGCATAACTATTTCAAATTTATAAATTTAAGGTATATATATATTTGAATGATTTCTAAAATAAACTATATGAAATATACATATATCGATATACATATGTATATATATGTCTATATTCCATGAACTTACTTGATAAAAATAAAGATTGATTTAACATAATAATAGTGATAGATTAATAATAGTTTTTATATATCGCGGTAATTTTGGTAATTTTTAATAATATAAAATAGTAATGAGTTTAGCATGCAGAAACAAGCTCCGTTATAATGGATTTTTTTTTTTTTTTTTTAAATCAATAATCTAATCTATTATGTACTGCAATGAGGACACAGGGTTTATGTGCATGCCCCCCCCCTGGGCTGCTAATGTATGACTAGAACATGACATGCTCTCCTGGGCGTGTTTAATGTATGACCAGAGCAAGCCTTTGATCAAAAAACGTATTATATGCAGATGAAAACATCGGGGGTATGTCTACAGAGCATGCCCATCAGGGCTTAAGACACTATATTTGTTTTCCCGGCTACTTACTGTGTCGTTTATGACCTATCAAAATTAAAATAGTATATTGATACAACAAACAGTAAAAACTATTAGAATCTTCTTATTTTGCTATTGTTATTTAATCGCAATGATTATGCAGAAAAATAATATATTGTCTTAAGCCCTGATCCCATAATTTTGAAAAATTTTCTCGTGCTCTTATTCTACTCATATTATTGCCATACGAATTTTGATCATATATTTGTTACGGTTTTTAATATTGGGTTCTAAACCTGATAATAATTAACGCTAACGCTAAAAATTTTACATATAGAAATTATTTAAAAAAAATACCAAAATTCAGTTATAATCTTTTAGCGCCACATTATTGTACTTACAATAGTAACTACTACCAGACGATAATGTTATGAAAATAAAAAATCGTTACAATAGTACGAATATGCATTAGCAATTGATAGAATATCTGTTAGGTGTATTTGGTTCATGATGGTGGCTATAAATACATCTAACAGATATGCGATTCAATTATTGATCTGACTCGTACTATCATACCAATATATTTTTTTTATCTATTATACGATAACTTATGTTCGTTGAAACAATCTAATGGGAATCGCCGGTCCTGTAAGATCACAGAACCTAACTAGACGGATGTTCTAACGATTTCACGTGGTCTCAGTAAACTTTATATCAAAAAGGAATAAAATAATAAAATTATGCATTTTATTAGTAAATATCATAGAACACTGCATACATGCAATATTACCCTCCCCCTCATTTATTACTTGACTGTATCCAGATAAATTCAAAGTATGATAAAAATTTCCGAATATATAAATTGACTATACAGTATATTCGAAAATTTTGGCAGCATTATTGGCGCACTTGCCCTTAAATTACTGAAAGTAGCTGACTTTACTTAAATCGGGTTAACATATGAAAAATAAAACCGATCTCCAAACTCTAACCTCTTCGGACTGTCGCATTTTTATATTTTTAAGTGATTTAGTCATTTCTTATTGTGCATTTACTTCTAATAAAGCAGTTCATTTTCATTAGCTATTTACTGTATGTAATGCTGAGACACGGAAAAATATAAAATAAAATTTTTGTAGTTTTTAATGCAGTGCAACAGTAAGAACTTCAGCCAGAATTAGGAATAAAAGTATAATTTGAATTGGGCAATATAAAATTGGCCAACCAACGAGTACGACGCTACTTAATTAAAGTTCGTATATAGTACGATTAATTTCTAATCGATAGCGCGAGTGGTTACTAGAACAGTAATCCGGGGTTGATGAAAATAAATTTTACTTACTGGTTTTAATTGAACGCACATGACAGATTATCGTTACATGACATCTGTAAATAATTCATAGACGACCACCCGGATCATGTTTTATAAAAAGAAGATTGCAGAAATCCGACTAAACCGAAATAGAATCAACAACCGTGTACAAAGTAAATGTTTGAATTATAACTCGCGAACGATAATAACCTTTGTTATAAACAATTTTATATTACTAGAAGATTACATTTCGATGCATTAAAGATCCATTCAAGTTATTATTACCCTATAGTTGCCGTCCAAACTATTTGGGACGGCCCAGACCATGCGATGATTAGCATCACATATGGTTAAAACTAGGTTAAGATCAGGTTAAACCCATATGTGATGCTAATCATCACGTGGTTTGGCGGCAACTATATATTACCCTTTCCAAATATTTCAGAACATAGGTATAAAAAAACTTTATTTATATTGGTGAACAACCTTGAATTATATAGTCAACATTAGCGATTTTTCTAAGCTTTAATAGTTAAACAAAAAGTACTAATTTTAATGCCCAAGACAGTTTTAGTTACAAACTCATACTAGAAAATGACTTTGAAAATTAAATTATCGGACCATTGTCGATCAAAGTTTAAAAATATAGTAGGCATTTTAGGCTTTAAAGAATTGGTACATTTTTTCATAGACCAATTTTATGACAGTAGTCGAATTCTATAGGCACGCAAAATTCTAAAATATATTGAACTATCAAAATATTGTTAGACACGTTATACATTTTACGTATATCGCCACACAAATTTGCGAATCATGTGATAAGAATTCATTTAGAATAATGTAGCGTTCGTCGGTACGATTCTTGATGGGGTGAAAAAAACATCGATTACGTAGTGTTCCTGATAGGGTCTTAAAAAAGTGCTTCTAAAACATATATTAGTATATGGAGAAAATTGGTATTGGAGTTTATTTTTTAGATCACTATCAGGAACAGTACTCTAAAAAATAAAAACTCTATCCTGGATCAGTACTGCCGATCCATCAGAAATAGTATTAAAATCGATCTCACACAAGTCGCGCGGCAGGTGCGATTCTTTCATTATCTCACACTCAGTGTTGGGCTCTGGACCGAAAGTCCGCTCTAATATAGTAATAAAGAATTAGAATGTTGATATGCTATCCTCTGTCCCACAAACACGAATTTGTCAATATAATTAACAAAATAATGTGTGATAATAAAAATTTGGTTTATGATGATATTAGGAATAGGCGTTGACATTATTCACCTTCCACGTCTCAAAGCTCTCCTTTCCCGCACTCCATCTTCTCTTAAAAAATTTACATCTCGAATATTAACTTCTGATGAGTCGAAAGAATTTCAATCTACATTTTCATCAATCTTAAACACTCGTTATAATCATATAACGATAGAACATAAAATTGTATCATACTTGGCCGTAAGGTTGTTATAATTTTTCGGTACTAATTAAAGAATTCATTTTTTAAAGTTTTTTTTTAAAAAAGATGGACTCTAAAAGAAGCGACATATAAAGCATTATACCCTCATAATTGTATAACATGGAAAGACGTTTCCATCAAAAAAATAAAAGGTCCGTATACTGTCTTTGTACCTATTGATTTTTTTTTTATTTTACTTTCGCTCTCTTGAAAATGTATATGTATTTATTTATTAAATAGGAAAACCTCACGTAACTATTCACAATGACACGACTGTTTCGAAAACTCACGCTTCAGTTGCACACGATGGAGAATATGTGGTCGCTCAGGTGATGATTGAAGGATTAGAGAAAACAAAAATTTCATAGATACTTCGTATTTTGATCTCTCTTGTGTAATATACTTGGTGCAAAGCACAGTCTCTATTAATCAATTAAACGTGGTTTGTTTAAATTTCTAACTATTACCGTAAAATGTGGAAATAAGCACAGAACCTCTACCCTACTTTTTTCAATTTCAGATTAACGGGGATAACTTAATAAAATTTTATTGCTATTTTCGCTAATTTGAAATTGAAAAAAGTAGGGTAGAGGGTACTGTGCTTATTTTCCATATTTTACGGTATTATAAATGCGGAGTATGTTTCTTGCCATTATAGTATACTATGCCTGGGTCTTTGCAAGCTTTTTTTTTTTGATTTTGTATTGGACGCCGGGTTTTAGCCAATGTAGCAATTATCTATTCCTGTATTTAAACCACTAGTTAAAGCTAAGAGTTAGACCTGTTTAATCACAAAACATGGTTTATAGTTTTAGAACGAATTATAGGCCAATTATCTTAATACTGATTAATTAATTAAATGCCTTGACCGCTCAAATTGTTTTCAAAATTATGTGATACTGTATCTATGTATTACACAACACAGATAATAATAAATTATAACTACAATAACTTTTTTTGCAAAAGTAGTAGTTGGAGTAAGATACTAAGCTGTTTTTTGATGATAGCATTCTAATATAAGGCTATTATGATCTTGGTCTATGAAATTCTTGGTTTCTACAACTAATGTAATATCATTATAATCATGTTTAATTCATGGAGTGATTGATATTATATCAATAAGAATTTATTATTGATTATTGTACAGCCATGTTGTTACTGCTATACCAAAATTTGATCATATTTGTATGGATCTTTTTTCTTTTTTATTCTGTTTTAAAACTAATAATAATGCTATAAATAATTGATAAATTAAAAAATTTTTACATATAAAAAAAAACTAAGAGAAAACAGAATTTCAAGTTTATATCATTTAAGAATTAAGTTATTTATTTAATATTATCAAATGCATATGTAGATAGGTAACAGATTCATTAAAAAGCACCAACTTTTGAGGAGTAATCTGTATATTATTG